AAAAGACTGAGGCTATAGAGCATGCTCTTAACAACTGCTGTCTTGCTTCCCCAGTGAGAAGGATTGTGATTCTAGCTTGGGTGATAGTTGCTGATCGCAAAGTACTCTGTACTTTATTTACATGCCTTCTCTGACCTCTGTTCCATCCAGAGGTTATAGGAAGGTGGAAGATATTCAGGTGGCCCGAGGTGGAAAAACTGGCAGGCCAGGCATGGCCATTTCGGATAGACCGATTTCTCTCCCTCTTTATTGCTTCCAAAGCTAGTGCAGGGAAAGCAGCAACTCTAATATGATGGCTCACAATTGTCAGGTAAACTCTTGATCTCTATACTTTTAGTTTCTAGACCTGACTGACAGTAAACTTGACTGTTCATCTTACCAAAAGAAGAGGGAAGCTTCCTTTCCTTAAGTTAATTTTTATTGGAGTATAGTTGCTTTACAGTGTTGGGTTTCTTGCTGCACAGCAAAGTGAATCAATCATATGTATACATGCGTCCCCTCTGTTTTATGTTTCCTTCCCATCCAGGCCACCACAGAGCCCTGAGTAGAGCTCCCTGTGCTGTACAGTTGGTTCTCATTACTTATCTATTGATATTCTGTACATAGCTTGTATATACGTCAGTCCCAATCCCCAGTTCTGCCCTTCCACCCTGGGACGGTTCCCTTTTGTCTGCTTTAGTACACTGCTTCATTATCAAGCTCTACAAATTTGTTTTGACACCGTCCTGTTATCCAAAGAATTCTGTGCAGATTTTATGGGCACAGAGAGCCATTTTGTGGGCTAGAGAACTCTAGCATATTGCTTGTTCTTAAGATACTAATCAAATCCCTTATGATTATACAGTGGAAGGGAGAAATAGATTTAAGGGACTAGATCTCATAGACGGAGGTTCGTGCATTATACAGGAGACAGGGATCAAGACCATCCCCAAGAAAAAGAAATGCAAAAAAGCAAAATGGCTATCAATGGAGGCCTTACAAACAGCTGAGAAAAGAAGAGAAGCAAAAAGCAAAGGAGAAAAGGAAAGATATACCCATTTAAATGCAGAGTTCCAAAGAATGGCAAGGAGAGATAAGAAAGCCTTCCTCAGTAATCAGTGCAAAGAAATAGAGGAAAACAATAGAATAGGAAAGACTAGAAATCTCCTCAAGAAAATTAGAGATGCCAAGGGAACATTTCATGCAAAGATGGACTCAATAAAGGACAGAAATGGTATGGACCTAACAGAAGCAGAAGATATTAAGAAGAGGTGGCAAGAATACACAGAAGAACTGTACAAAAAAGATCTTTACGACCCAGATAATCACGATGGTGTGATCACTCACCTAGAGCAAGACGTCCTGGAATGTGAAGTCAAGTGGGCTTTAGGAAGCATCTCTACGAACAAAGTTAGTGGAGATGATGGAATTCCAGTTGAGCTATTTCAAATCCT